CTAACATGTGTTTTACCTGCATGGCAGGAAATTTAATCCAGGACTGGGCTTTTTAAGAGCGAGCCGTGCACCAAACTGCCTGAATGCTCCGACTCTGCTCTGACAGAGTGGGTTGTATCATACTTTTTTGCACAACTGAAATCATTCTGTGCAGCTCAAGGCTTAAAAAAGTGCAACAAACATCAAACAGAAAAGCAAACTTTTTTTTTCTCTCTTGGTGTAACCAGCTCGTAATTAAATTCTTAAGAAACAGCTTCATAACGGGACGCATCAGAGGGAAAAGAGCCGCCGCTTGCAGTTCCCAAACGAATATATCACTGGGTTCTCCAGATGTTTTTTGGTATCATTCGTGCGAGGCCTCTCAGTGTGTTTGACAAGACAAAGAGTGAAATGTGACTCCAAACAGCTATTTTTCCTCACTGACGAAACATAAGCTTTAAGGCATCTGCCTGAAGGCAGGAGGCCAGAGGTTATTTGCAACCTATTAACTGCACTGTATCCACACGGACGGCATTGATGCTGCTCCGTCTCAGTGCCCAGAATAATGGGCTTCTCCTCTACTGCTCTGTGGATGCAAATCAAGCCTGCCTTTAGGACACAGACGGTCTATTATAATGCCACTGTGGGGAATAAAGGCTGGGCCAAGTGGCTGTTTAGTGGCTTTTCCCTGAAGAAAAATGCGCTTGTTTTGTTGTGTTTACCTATAAATTAAAAAGCAACAGACACAGATTGCTGAGCCGGCTCACCATAAACAGGCCGACAGCGGGTCCTTCGTCTTATGCCAGAAATAAAACGCATATTAAAACCCAAATGAAAAGGAAAAGAGATGGAATTGAAGAGACCTGAAATAACCACAAAGAGACCAGATGTCCCACATGTGACAGCTTAAAAAAAAGTCACACAGTTGACAAATTAAGACACAGAAATAAGGAGTGTGACACACAAAATGTGACACAAAGAGAGCCAGGATAACAGACAGAGGGGTGGAAAACCAGACGCAATAGATGCTAAAGGACTTAGTGTCTACACTGAACAATATGAGGGCCAAGAGGAGCCTGAAGATAAACTACATGAGAAGTGAGACACAAATGTCCCCAAAGTGCAGCACAAAACAACAGCATGACAAAAATGAGACGAGATGGAAGAAAAAAAGAAGCAAAAAGCCAGTAAACAAAACGACTGTAAAGAGATGCAACAGAGCATCAACACAAAAACAGAAACACAACCTGAAGACTCACAGACGCAAACCACACGGCAGTTTGTGTCGGTGGTCCTGGGCAGGATGAGAAGGGCAAAGAAC